CCTCTACTGGCAGCCGCTATCCCGAGTCTTGCCTCAGGCCACCTTATCCCTCACCACACCCCTCCCGGCTCATCATTTCTACCCTCCCAACCTCTACCCCTCCCATCCCAATCCCTCTCCCGAAAATTTGATTATCTCCACCATTACAACCATCCAGACCCCATCACCTCCCCATTATCTCTTATTTCCCAGCAACCTCGCTTCCCTCCCCCTCAGAGCCTCCGTTTCCCCTCATGTCCCCGCTCTTCCTCAGCCGCCATTAGGGCCTCACAGCCCCCGTTTCCCCTCAGATCCCCGCTTTCCCTCAGCCGCCATTAGCGTCTCAGAGCCCCCGTTTCCCCTCAGGTTTCCCCTCAGATCTCCCCTCTCCCTCAGCCGCCATTACCCGGCCGCTCGCGCCTCCGCCGCTCCCGCGCTCCGCCGTCGTGCTCGCCGGGAGCCGCCGCCAGCCAATGGGGAAGCGGCTCGCGCTCGCCGCGCCTCGTTCCCATCCTCACTTCCACTTCCGGCGGCGGAGGAGGCCGGACGTGCGGCGGCGGGAGCGGAGCCGACGTGTCGCAGCAGGGACCGGCGACATGGTGAGGATGGGGATGGGGGGAACCGGGGTTTGCCACAGGGGGCCCGGCCCCGCTGAACACCGCCGTGTCCCCGCAGGAGCTGGAGGCGATGAGCAGATACACGAGCCCGGTGAACCCGGCCGTGTTCCCGCACCTCACCGTGGTGCTGCTGGCCATCGGCATGTTCTTCACCGCCTGGTTCTTCGTGTATCCCCGCGGTTGAGCGGGCGGGGCGTGCTGTCCCCTTGCTGTGCCTTCCACTCCTGGATTATCGCCCTAATTCCCGGGGCCAGGGGAGCGGGTGGGGGGGTCCCCTCGCCTTGTTGTGCCTCTGTTACCACCTTAACCCCCGGCCTGGCAGCTACGAGGTGACATCCACCAAGTACACCCGGGACATCTACAAGGAGCTGCTGATCTCGCTGGTGGCCTCGCTCTTCATGGGCTTCGGCGTCCTCTTCCTGCTGCTCTGGGTCGGGATCTACGTCTGAACCCCCCGGGGGCCTGGATGGGGGACTCGGGGAAGCTCTTTTTATATTTCTTTTTTTATTTCAACGAGAAAACGCCTGTAGCAGGTGTGGTCTGTGATGGGCAGTGATCCACAGGTGAATAAAAGTGGCTCTGTGACACACCTGCCTGGAGACTGCTGGTTTGGTTTTGTTTTGGTTTTTTTTAACCTGTCTTTTCCAAAGGGCTTAGATAGAATTATGGGGAGTCTAAGGCTGGAAAAGCCCTCTAGGATCACCCAGTCCAACCATTCCTCCAGCACTGCCAAGGCCACCACTAACCTGTGTCCCCAAGTGTCACAGCTTTTAAATCTGTGTCCCCAAGTGTCACAGCTTTTAAATCCCTCCGTGGATGGGGGCTCCACCTCCGGAGCCTGTTCCAGTGCTCTAAAACCCTTTCCATGAAGGAATTTTTCCTAATGCCCAACCTAAACCTCCCCTGGTGCATCTTGAGGCTGTTTCCTCTTGTCCTGTCACTATCCTTGGGAGAAATGACCAGTCCTACATGGCTGCACCCTCCTGTCATGGAGTTGTAGAGTGAAAAGGTCCCCCATGAGCATTTCTCTCTTCATATTGGCACAAGATCCAGGTACTTTGGGATGTGCTCACTGTTATCCCAGATTTCTGTGCTGTGCGTGGTCACAAGTGTACCAGTGCCACCTTGTGTCCGGATGCAGCCAGGCTGTGCAAAATCTGCTTTTAATCCCTCAGCCTCCTTTGTCATCACATCCCCTCACCCTTTCTTTTGGGAATGCTGTACTGTTCTCATCCCTAACCAGGGGTTTTGTGGTGCTGGATGTGTCCTTCATTAATTCCTGAATTAACTGCCTGACCTAGAAACAAGGAATTGATTTATGTGTCTTTAAGAGGCAGACTGGAATTTTAGCCCAGCTTTCAAACCATTCCACTTCCAAATCACAAATTCAAGCCCCAATTTCCTTCTGTGGACTTTTGGATCCTTAATTCCTGAATTAACTGCCTGACCTAGAAACAAGGAATTGATTTATGTGTCTTTAAGAGGCAGACTGGAATTTTAGCCCAGCTTTCAAACCATTCCACTTCCAAATCACAAATTCAAGCCCCAATTTCCTTCTGTGGACTTTTGGATCCTTCTGGATCTGAGCCTGTCCTCTGACATGAGCAATGAGAGGTCAGAGGCAGGTTTTCCTCTTCCTTTCTTTTTCCTTCCCTTCTCCTCTTTTGCGCTCTTCCTTCCTCCTTTTTCCCTCCTTTTTTCTTCTTCCTCCTTTCTTTGTCCTTCTGCTTTCTTTTTCTTATTTCCCTTGTCCATTTAACCTTTCTTTTTCCTTTTCATTTTCTTCATTTTTCCTCCTTCCTTCATTTTCCCTTCCTAATTTCTTTCCCCTTCTTAGTTTTCCTCCTTCCTTTCTCCTTTTTACCTCCATTCCAAAGAACCATGACTGGGCATATCCAGAAACTTCCACTGACTAAAGACCTGGAATTTCCTCCATCCCATGGGCAGTTCTACAGCCACTCACCTGAGTTATTTCCTAGGAAGGGAGGAAAACACCAGGAGCCATCCTTGGATACAAAGCAGTATTTATATATTTTATTCATATGGGCACATTTACCTCCAGCATAAAACAAAGTCTAAATAAGCAAAACAAAACAAAACAAAAAAAATCCAGGGAATCCAGAGACTCAGCTCTCAAATTCAGCAAAATATAAATATAAATCAGGAAGAAAAGAGGGAAACCACGCTTGTTCCCCACAAATAAAAACCAGGAATCAATAATAACCTGCTACAAATGCAACTCTACAAACTGGCTGGCAAAATACAGTGATTAAAGCTGTGGCAGCAACATTTAAACCAACAAAATTAGTGCTTTACGTGGTGGTTTTTTCCTTAATTCTTCCAGTGGTGCCATAGTCTCTATTTACAGGCTTTAAGCTCCAACAGTTAGACAGAAGAGTTGGGAATTTGCTTTTGAAACAACTCCCAAACAGCCTCGTTCTCCACCCTTTTTTCTTCCATTTCTGCCAGGAATGTCTCTTTGCCGCTGGATAGGGAGGGATTTCCCCAAGCTGGAGAGGTCGGCTCAGAATTCCCTCCATCCCACGCAGGGAAAGGCCTGATTGTGAACTCTCTTGGTACTGATTTGGGACAGGGAAGGGGCAGAGATGCGTTTTGGGGGGGAAATCCATGCAGACAGATGTTTCTACAGGCCTGGAAGCAATTCCATGACTCTTGCATTTTATAATTCTGAACCCCTTTGGAGCTCTCGTTGCTGCCTCGCTGGGAAGCAGCTGGTGGATGATTTTTATAATGGAATCCTGGAATTGGGTGGGAAAGGACCTTAAAGCCCATTCAGTCCCACTAGTCCAGGCAGCTCCAAACCCATCCAACCTGTCCTGGAACACTTCCAGGGATAGAACATCCAAAACTTCTCTGGGCAACCTGTGCCACTTTAAGACATAAGGTACTACTGACACTAAAAACTTCATCCTTGAATCCCTGTCCTTTCCTGATCCCAGGGATTGCTGCCAGTTCCACGTGGGTAGGGCTGGCTTTGGCACTCCAGGAATTGCCACATCCCAGTTAAACCTGGGCACCATTTCTGAGGCAGCATTTGGGAATATATGTGGGAAAACACTGTTCCCTGGGGTTGTTCCATAGGGAAAAAGGCACTAGAGATGTTTCCAAGCCCTCAGGCACTTGGTTTGTTGGGGAGCTCCCTAAATCCCATGGCTGAGTGTCCTGGGGACACCTGAGAGATCCCAACTCCTCCTGGGCCACCACTGATTGATTCCTTTCCCCAGGAGCGGGGTGGGATGCACTGGGGTGTCTTGGCTGAGTGGGGGCGATTGCTGGCTCTGGCCCCCCAACATTCCCTGTTTCCTCTTCCAAGGGCTTTTATCCCAGCTCAGCATCACTCACCTGAGGAAAGACATGCCAGCCTGGGCCACTGATTGCCAAGGGGACAATAAACCTGCCAAGGAAGTAACTTCCCAGCTTAAAAACAGGAAAAACTGTGCAAGGCAGGTGGAAGGAAGAGCACTAAGCTACATCCAGGTGTTTCCTTCCCAGTTCCAGGGAAAAACAGAGAATCCTGCTGAGCATGAAGCCCCCCTGCTTGGGGCATCCTTTCGTCCCACTGAGCTTCCCAAAACTGAGTTTTCCAACTGCTTGGCTGCTAGGAATTCCCTGCTCACCCACTATTCCCCGCTTCCCAGGATTCAATGGATTTTAGTAACTATAATTCAGTGTTTCCAGGCCTTGAAACCTGCCTACAAAATGTTTTTGAGGGCAGATGCCAAATTCAAGTGACCTCACCAGGAATTTTGGGGCTGCTTTGCTGGGATAAGCTCAGGAGGGGGATGATGTGAGATAAAACCAGACGTGCCCAGGAACCATACATCACTTTACCTGGATAAAATCCATCTTTGTTTTCCCAGAGCAGCTTTAAAATGTCCTTAAGATCAGCATGTGGCATTCCCCCCTCACTTGTTTCCTCAGGGAAATCCATCTTGGAATAACCTGGAGGTGGCTGAGCCTCCAGGAACGCAGACAACTCCTTTGTAGCACAAGGAGCAGGATGGGGAGGAGGAAGCACAGGGAGCCACTTGGCTTTCCCACAGGACACACGTGGCTCAATGGGGCCAGAAGGAAATTCCTATTTTTTTACGGCTTAAATCCCACAAGAATTCAGTAGTTTAGCAAGTTAAGGGCTTGTAACAGTAAAATATCCCAAATCCCTCCAGTGCAACTCTGTGAGGGCAGGGACAGCCTGCAGCTGCTGCCATCCCAAATTTTGGGAGAACACCACCCCTCTCCCGAGGCAGAGGTCAAACCTGGACACAGATCCTGGTGTTCCCAGGGACTCAGCCTTGCTCTGCAGGGCACTCCAGGCTTTGCCAGTGCTGCACATCTGGGCAGAGGTTGGCACTGGCTCCAGAGCCGACCAGGCAGCTCTGCACATGCCACTTCCAAGCGGATAAAAATGGATCCCACCACACTTAATGTGGGTAAATCCCTGTCATGTGTTATCCCTGGCCTGGGGACAGGTGTCCCCAGGTGTGGCATGGCCTCAGCAGCAGCTTGAGTGGGGGGTTTATCCATTTAGACCTGGATATCCCACATGGATATGGGATGTAAGAGCACAAAGAAGAGGGGGTATGATGTCGAAGCTGCTCCTTCTCTGGTTGTTCCTAGAGGAACTTGCCCATTGGCAGGTCCGGGAGTCTCTGGGAAGTGGCCCTGGGCCAAGCAGAAGGAACAGCAACTCCAGTGTACGACTTCCAGTAGGTCCAGCCACCCTTTCCAGGCCAAACTCCAGCATTTGGCTCTTGGAAAGGGCTCCAGTGTTGAAGCAATTCCAGTGTTGTGAAGAAGTGATGTGGGACAACTGAGAGCACCGGGATGGGGCTCCTGTCCATGGAAGGAGCATCCCTCTGAGATCTGGCAGAGCCATCCAATGCTCAGTCCAGTGTGATGCTTCCAAATCCAGTGTTGGAAGGGGAGGGGGAAGTGATGGAGGACACAAATGTTCCCATAAGGGAAGGAGAGGGATGTGGGATGCTGGGAATCGGTGTGAGGTCCCCCCAGGAGCCACCACGGGGCTGGTGGTGGCTTTTAGGTCCTGTATGTGCTGAGCTTCAGCGTCTCCAGCCATCACCATTCCAGCTCTGGAGCTGCCGCAGGACACGGGGATGAGGTGGGGCTGGGGGCCAGTGGAGCAGGGAATTCGGGAGGCTCCCAGTGGCACCAGTTCCCCTCCTGTCTCCGAGCAGAGGGCACTGGTGCTGCCAGGACTCACTCACAGAGCCAGTAGAACTGGAAGTAATAGTCAGTGAAGAGGTGTCCCAGCTGCTCCAGGGAAGTGTTGCAGTCAGCTCGGCCCTGGGAAAGGGAAAAGCAGCTTAGAGAGGGGTGCGACTCCAAGGGCGGAATTCTGCCTGGATTATGGGCTGGGGCAGGGACAGATCATCCTCCCACCACCCACAGAACCGTGGGAAGCTCCTGATCCTAAACCTACATTTCCCAGATTTCATAAATCCCACATTCCTCTCCATGTGGCCCTAGACAAGCGGCGGGCACTCACCGGCTGCGCCACTCGGAAGTGGTAGGAAAACTCGCGGAAGGACAGCATCACCAGAGGCCAGCGGTGCGTGGTGTCCTGGGGAAGGAAGGGCAAGAGCTGGGATGAGATCAGGGATGAGCTTGGGTATGTTCTTCAGGCCAGATCTGTGAGGAAATCCACAGCCTCGTGCTGTTAAGTGACCTCCATGGGTGTTTCCTGGAGCACAAGTGGGATAAGGAAGGGCTCTGGGAGCTGAGGGGGCTCAGCCTGGAGAAAAGGAGGCTCCGGGAGGACCTTCTGGCTCGGCATAACTCCCTGACAGGAGAGGGCAGCCAGGTGGGATCAGGTTCTGCTCCCAGGGAACAAAGGACAGGATGAGAGGAAACAGCCTCAAGCTGTGCCAGGGGAGGTTTAAGTTTGATATTAGGGAAAATTCCTTCATGGGAAGTGCTGCCCAGGACAGCGGTGGAGTCCTCATTCCCAGAGGGATTAAAAAGCTGTGTGGATGTGGCACTTGGGGACATGGTGGCCTTGGCAGTGCTAGGGGAATGGTTGGACTTTTCCAGCCTCAGTGATTCCACGTATATTTTGTGAGCTGTCCCTTTCTCCCTACCTGTGCATCTGTGGAGTCAGTGGAGCTGTTCCCACTCACAGCACCCTGGCAGGGATCACTGGAGACCAGCCCACAAAGGGAGATGGACACAGCGGAGGAGGAGCTGGGAAGAGAGGACAGCATGAGAGCCTGGAAGGGGGAACATGTGTCCCTTTCCTACAGAGACACCTCAGCCACATCGGCCACTCCAGGGGCTCCCAAGGGACATAATCCATGGGTACTCACTTCATCTCCAGGGTCAGGTTGGTGTTCACAGCTGTCTGCTGGCTCACAGGGATGCGGTAGCTGAAATTCCCAGTCCTGGGAACACACAGAGAGCATTAGATGGCACCAGGCTGTGGGAAGGCTGGGACAGGACCCAAAACCCGTGGCGGACTGAGAACTCAAGAGGGGAGAACTTCCCAATGTCCCAAGGACGAGCCCACCACCAAACACGACCCCTGAGGGAAAGCTGGGAGCGCCAGCTCCTCTTCCCATGGAGCAGCACGTGGTGATGGCATGATGAAACACTCAAAAAAATCTTGGAAAAATTCCCAGATTTTCCTATTTGCTGCTCCCACAGTACTGCTGCCACCGAAGTGCCACCGAGGAGCCACCAGCCAGCCCTTCCCACTCACCTGCAGGCGTCGGCAGCGGCGCAGTACTGGGAACGGATAGCCAGGTTGATCTCCAGGATCCGGATGGATTGCAGCACCGGGCTTGGCCCTGCTGGGGAGAGAACAGTATGTTTAGGAAGAGCAAATGGTGGAAAATCCCAAGAGCGTAGGCCGGAAGGGAAAGAAGACGGGATCCACGTACCATCCGTGCTGGGCTGTTCTGTGCGGGGCCGCTCGCTCACCGGCTGCCGGAGGCTGCGCTGCTGCCGGGAGTTGCTGCGGGAGAGCGAGAGGTTGGAGATGTACTTGGATTTGCCCTGGATGTGGGAGAAGGGGGAGGAGGGGCTGGCATTGGGGCTGCCGAAGCTCTGAGACCTGTCAGGAGTCTTTGGCCACTTGGTGTAGGAGGTGGATTTCCCGGTGATGCCCCTGGATTTGGCTTTGATATTTGTCACTGGCAGGAGGGAGGGCTGGCTTTGGTCTGTGGAAAAATGGGAGAGAAGATTGTGCTGAGAGAAAGAGAGAGGCTGGCAGCACTGGGATCACCCTGTCCCCATGTCACCTCCTGATGTTTCCCAGGTTTCCCAGAGAAGATGTGGCTGCCCCATCCGTGGAAGTGTCCATGGCCAGATTGGAAGGGGCTTGGAGCAACCTAGGATAGTTGGAGGTGTCCCTGCCCATGGCAGGGGTGGAACCAGATGGACTTTAAAGTCCCTTCTAACCCAAAGCATTCCAGGATTCTGTGCTTCCATTCCCTCTGTGCCTGACGGAGCTGGTGATGGAATGAGGAGGGAATGAGGTCAGACCTCAAGGTAGGGCTGCTCAGGTGAGCTGTGCCTGGTGTAGCTTCCCATGACCTCTTGCTGGCAACATAGGAAGTTCCAAATCCTTTCCAGCCCCCACATCCCCCTGGCAACAGGATCCAAACTGCACCGCATGGGCAGAGGATATAAAGGATATATCCAAGGATAAGGATAGAAAGGGTATCATCTCTTAGAGAGCTTCCAAAGGAGTGGAATGAGGATGAAGAGGGATCTGGAGGGGAGAGAGAGCTGGAATTGTTCATCCTGGAGGAGACTGAGGAGACCTCATAAGGAGCAGGGCAGGGGACATGGGGTGACACAAACCTTGGAGATGTCCCAGCATTTCTGGGAATCCAGGCTGGGCCTCACCTGTCCGGTTGGTGGCATGGGCAGGGCTGGTCTCCAAGGGGACAACAGAGGAGATGTCAGTGGGAGCAGCAGAGCAGCACGTGGAAAAACAGGGAGGGCTGAAACAGGCCAGCACACTGTGACTGGGAATGCCAAGGGCTGCTCCATGTGTCTCATCTGGGACTGCAGGGACACAGGGAATAAGTCAAGGGATGGAACAGGAGCAGCACCTGGTGTCCTGCAGCCCTTCCATGAAACCAGAGTCATCCCAATCCATCACCCACCGTGCTCTGGGGGTGTCCTGCGGCTGGCTCCGTTGGATGCAGCCGTGGATCGCACTGTCTGCGTCTTGTCAATGTTCTGGCTTGACCTGGAATGCAGGAAAAGATGCTGGAAACCTCCTGGATGTGGACAATGGGGTCACTTGTAGGTGGGGAGAAAAGTGTCTGCAGCAGGAGGACGGGAAGAGGGACATGGAGCAAGTGGAGGTGTGGAAGAGAACAGAGTGATCTGGGAAAAGCAGGAGAAAGGCACAAGAGCCATGAAGACAGCAAGGAGAGCTCAGAAATTCCATAGGGAATCATGTGGCAGTTCCATGTCTGGCAGGGAAAAGTCACAGATGGTTCAGAGGACACCAGCAACCCTCCTGGAACATGCTGGAACAGGGTGTACATGGCAGATTTGACTCCCATCAGGAGTCTCCAGGTGGAATTTTTAGGTGCTTGGGAATCAACAGACTCCAAACTCTCACCATTCCCTAAAGAATGTGCCCCTTATCCCTTGAAGACAGACTGTTCCTCCCCTTGCTCCTTAGAAACACACACAATCCACACAACCCCCCCAGTTCATCCCATGGAATTCCAGGTGTTTCACTGCAGCTATCCAAGACCTGAGCTGAGGACACCACAGGCATCTCCTGAAGGTAGGGGAGATGGGAAAGGGAGGGAATCCTTCTCCCAGGTCTGCAGAACAAGGAGCATTTCTGGACACCTGTGTCCATGTCCTACCCATCCCTGAGCATCGCTCCAGGTTTCTGTGGGATTAATGGAGCTTCACTCATTTAGAGGAATTAAAAAAACACTTTGTCATCTCCAAGATTTGTATAATTAGAGGGATTTCTTTTTCAGATGAAAAGAGACTCAATGCCAGTCTCCCAAAGGGAACGTGGGCACAAGCCTCTGGAGGCTTCACCTTCATCCCAGTCTAAATCCAATCCTTATTCCTCATGTTCCTCCACTGCCTCATCCCTTTTCCTCACACAGCTTTATCTCACTCCTGCTCTCCCTGAAGGATGCAATTTCTTTATTTAACCTTTAATTAATTGATTTTTCCATCTCCTACTCCTAATTTTCCTTCCCTGACAAGATCCAATATCCCACTGGAACTCTCACATCCCTGTCTCTGTTTTCAGCTTCTTGGTCTTCCGTGGTGCAGGGAAAAGAAAAGAAATCAAGAGAAAGGACAAAGGAATTAAATAATGAAATAATGAAACAGTCACATACCGTGGACACAGAGCGACCGGAATTCCGGGACCCCCATGCCGAAAGAGGGCCAGGAGACAGGCAGTGGGTACAGCAAAGGAGCTACAGGACAGTGCAGGGAAACAGGGAGAACAGGAAAGTGGGAAGATGACCAGGAGGATGGGGAATGAAAGAGGATATGGAAGATAATGGGAAGGAAAAGACAAAAATGGGAAAACCGAAGACAAAGCGGGAGGAAAATGTGTTGGAGGAGAGATGTAAGGAGGAGAGGAGGGAGAAAAATGGGAGAAGGAAAAGAGAGGGAGAAAAAGAGACTCATTATCAGGTTACACCATCTCCCAAAGCTGATCCAGCACTGGTGCATCAGTGGGATGAGGCTGTTTTAGTCCAGCTGAGGCATCCAAGGAACATTCAGCACATCCTAACAGGACATTCTCTTTTCCTTCTCTATCCCTCACTTCTTGCTCAATTCAACTGCCGTCACACCGGGGTGTGTGGCTGTGCTTGGCAGGGTTTGCAGCTCTGGAATTGTGCTCAGTAATCCCAGTTTCTGTGCTCCAGCCTCTCCCAGGTGACCTCATCCCTCCCAGCGATTCCCAAAGTACCCACCCATCGATGTCCACGAGATCCTCCTCGCTGCGCAGGCTCAGCACGTAGAGCGTGGACATGGACACCACACTGGAAAAGAGAGATAAGGACAGGTAAGGAGGAGCAGGGATCAAGGATACAGCATGGGATCAATCTGCTTCCACGGGATTCCAGCCCAGGAGAGATGGATGCCCCATCCCTGGAAGCACCTGAGGTCAGGTTGGAGCAACCTGGGATAGCAGAAGTTGCCAGCTCATGGCAGGGGACTGGAACCAGATAAACTTCAAGGTCTCTTCCAACCTAAAGCACTCCAGGATTCTCTGGAAGAAGCTGCAGATCCACAGCCCCTTGCTGCACACCCCATGGATGGCCCAGCCCCAAGGGATGAGCTGGAGGGAGCGGATGCAGAAGCCCAGGAGTGGGATCTCACCTGAATGCCATGATGATGACCAGGGCAATGATGGTGCCCTGGAGGAAGCGCTGGCTGATGCAGGCCTGCTCCGGGACAACCGACGGAGACTGCGAGGGAAAAAAATTCTGGATCAGCTCAGGACCCCCTGGATCAGCTCAGCTCCCTCACTGCTCTGGTCCTTGCACAGATCTCCCCCAGCCCATCCTGAGCTCTCTTCTTGCCTCCCTGAAAAACCTGACTTCCCCAAGTTTAGAAGTCATTTAATGTCTCCATTAGGAGATAGAAAGGAAGATCATGGGAAAACTGAGGTTGGAAGAGCCCTCTAGGATGATGGAGTCCAACCCTTCCTCCAGCACTGCCAAGGCCACCACTAATCCATGTCCCCAAGTGCCACATCCATATGGTTTTTAAATCCCATCAGCAATGGGGACTCCACACCCACTCCAGTGCCTGACAGCCCTTTCCATGAAGAAATTTTTCCTAATATCCAGCCTAGCTCTCCCCTGGCACAACCTAAGGCCATTTCCTCTTGGATAAGCCAGGGAGGAGAGCCTGATCTCCTGGCTCCAACCTCCTTTCAGGGATTTGTGGACAGTGAGGTTGCCCCTGATCCTCCCTTTTCTTCAGGCTGAGCCTTCTCTGCTCCCGGCGCTATTCCTTTGGGATCCATCCCTTACCTTGCTGGCTACTTTGTGGGGTCTCTTTTTGTGGGGCACACTTCCTGCCCGGCTGAACTGGCTCCCAGTTTGGCTGCAAGGAGAAAGGAGGAATGGAGTGTAGCTGGGCAGGAATAGCTCTCCAAACCATTCCCAGGCAAAAATGGGATTTTCTGGGAGGGAAAAGACCTCTCTGTGGTGTGACAGTCACAAACCCTTTTGGTGCTCTGCCCCAAAACTGGCATAGGCAGGGTCAGGATGGAGATTTTGGAAGTATGGGAAACTCTTTGCCATTAGAAAGCAACTGACTTTAGGGAAACATGGAAACCATTCCATCCTGGGTGTGGTTGGGCTGGTCCTGTGGGAATTCCAAACTTCCCCAAGCTCAGCTCTTTAAATCCACTCCAGGCCAAGCAACACCAGCCAACATCCCACTCCTTCCTCATCTCCCTGTTCCCAATCCAAGCTGCCCCTTGGAGGGGGGATTCCCATTCCTGGGATGAAAGGGGACACTCCCTGTGGCTCCATGGGTACCTGAAGGCTCCAGAGCTCACAGTTGACTTCATGCTGTCCAGCCTCTTGAGCTTGGCCAGCTTGTGGCTCCACCTCTCCAGCTCATCAATCCGTGTCTCCAGGTTATCCGTGAGCTTGCACAGCTCCTTCACGGCTCCCACGTTCTCCATGAAGATCCGCTCCTGTCAGGGAATCAGGCCAGCAGGCTGAGGCACACCTGGATCTGGATGATCCATGAGTGCTGTGGGAGACTGTCCCCTCGATTCCCAGAGCAGCAACCAGGCTGCCACAGGCTGGGAAAGGTCAGGAAACCAGGTGCTCCAGGTTATCCTGACATAAGCACTTTATCTTATCTGGGAAAGGGAGATTAGGACAGGGAGCCTCCCTGCAGGAAGCTGCCAACAAGGAGCCCTTCCCAAGGGAGATGCTGCCAAATTTCACCAGCATCAGGCTGGTTCCTCCCTGCCAGTGTCTGATATCCACCCAGGGCTGCTCCCGACTTCTGGAAGACCAGCTGGCTCTGAAACTCATCTGGGAGCATTTCCCAGGCATCACACTTTCCCTCTTCCATACCCAGCTCCACGATTCCCTCAAGCCAGGTTCCCCAGCCCCCCAGGCTGCCACCAACCTTGTTCACCACCAGGAAGTTCTCCAGGGTTTTCCCATTGGAAAAGACCAAGTCCCCAGTATCTTTCACAGCTTCCGGGAGGATCTCCTTCACTTCCTGAGCAATGACACCTGTGTGGAGGTGGAACAGTGGGATGGGATCATCCTGCACCCCCTGAACACTCTGGGAGTGACACCAGGGGTGTTCCCTCCTCATTCCAAGCTGTGCAGGGCTCCTTGGAGACCCTGAAGGGCAGATGATGGTCAGACAAGGCTGTTCCCCAAATTCTGTGGATAGGGATAATCACCCCACCATAGTGTGCTTGGAGAAACCTTCTCCCTGTGGGAAGTGCCACCTCCTCTCCTGCTCACTAAAGAGGAAATTGCATCAGGTTCCTTCATTTGGGAGGTTAAAAGGCCCCTCTTGCCCACCCCACACCTGGGGAGGTGCCCTGGTACAGAGCTCGGTACAGTCCCTAGGAAAGGCAGGGAATTCCTGTGGGACATTCCTGTGTCGGGGGCATATTCCCGTGGGATGTACCTGTCTCAGAGGTGCTGTCAATGCCCACTGTAGCTGCAAACTCGGGTTTGTAGCTGTAGTGCACCAGCCTCATCCTGGAGATCCGCTTCAGCTGCTCTGTGGTGTCCACCTGGGACAAAACAGGCACATGGAATTCCCAATGGGATATTGCTTCTTAAATCCCCACCACTCTTCATCCAAGCAGGACAACCCACTGTGGCCCATGTGATCTTCTGTGGGAGATCGCCCTGAGCCCTGAACTGTGCTCTGAGCAGCCACAAGGACAAACAATGGGGTTAATGTCCAGGTCAGGACAAGATCCTTGGATGGGGAAATCAGGAGACTGAGTCTCCTTGCAGAACCAGACACAGGAAAGAGACAGCTCCCAGAAACAGGTGACATTATATCCAGCTTTTCTGCACAGGAAAATCCTTCTGAGAGGAATTCAGAGCAGATCCAAGCCTCTCACCCAGGCTCTGGCAAGGCCCAGTGTGGTACCGGCCATATTGACCTTTTTTCCACTTGTTTTCCACCTTTTTCCCACTGTTTGCCACTTCTGGCTAACACTGGAAGAGTCAATATTCCCTAAGACACAGTGGACTGGCTGTGCTTGAGACAGAAGAATCCTAAGGCACTTCCCATCCACTCTACAGTCATAGGATCATGGAATATCCTGAGTTGGAGGAGACCCACAAGAATCATTTGAGTTCTTCAGACTCCTGGTGACCCCAAGCCTGCCCTGTTTTCCAGGTTCTCACCTCCTGGATGTCCTCTTTCACTCGGGCATCCGAAGGGTGCATCAGGGACCCCATGACCTTCACATTGCCATGGACCACCAGGGCTTCATCTGGGCGGTCTGTGTTGATTCCCACACGGCCGTGGTGGAAGACGGTGTCTGGGAGCTGCGCCCGCTGCCAGAGCACGTCACTGTCACTCTCAAACTGCCCCGGGTTGGAAGCCTGTGGAGAAATGGGAAAACAGCAACAGACTGAAAGGCAGGGAGGGGAGTGCTGGGAAGCAGAGATGGGGAAGGTTGGCCCTTCCTGCTCCTCTCCTCCCCCTAAAGGAATATCCTTGCTTCCTTCAGCTGTTACCCCCAGCTATCAGTGTTCCAGCCACTCAGGACAGCAGGAAACCAAGTGACATGGATGACACTCCTGGGTCCCAAATTCAGAGCATTCCAGGCTACCTGCAGTTCCCTGAAATCCTGTGCTGGACATCCTGGAAGCTGCCTAACCCATTGTGGACTTCTCGTCTGAGGTCCCTGTTTGGGTTTTACTACCTGTTTTCATGTTTTGGAGCTGAGTGCTCCAGTAAAACCCTGGAAGAGCCTGGGAATGGTGCCTTTCTTTTCCTGCTCCTCTGCCTTAGGACATGAAAAGGTGATGGTCTGGGAAAGTGCCCAATTTTCCAATTTTTTTTCCAATTTTTGCATCTTCTTGTTCCTGCTGCAGAGTTCCAGCAACACTCTTCCCTCATTCCCAACAGTTCTACTGGACACTGATCCCATTTGGAGAATGGGATTCCTGTAACAGGTTCTTGAACCAGGTATGGAAAGTCTGTAGCCAGAAGCCAAGTGTGGACAGGAAAAGCAAGGCAGGGAGAGTCTGGAGGGGGTGGGAGAGGTGGGAAATCAAGTTTGGAAAAGACCACAAAGAACATCAAAGCCAACCCAGCACCACCATCACATTCACCATTAAACCATGACCTCAGGTGCCACATCCACATATTTTCTGAATGTGGAATGTGGGAAACAGCCCAGGATGGTGCAGCAAAGGAGTGTGGATAGAGGGAGGAGACGGGGATTTACCCGGACGATGATCCGCTCAGAGATGTGAGCTGCCAACGTGTAGTTCTGGTTCTGGGCATGTGCCTGCAGGGCCACCACCAGCATGAAGTACCTGCAGGAGGACACAGCTCAGGGACACAGCCTGTGCTGGGAAGAGGTGGATCACCATCCTCTCTGGGCACCATGCAGCACTCCCTCTCCTTGTGCTGGGTGTCCCCAACCCCTCTCAGAGCAGGGACACCCTTCTAGTGTCCGCAATCCACGCCCTATTCCCACATCCCACTCCATCCACTCTGCCCAACCCAGGGACGGGCAAATCCACAGGATTCTCAGGATGTTCTGGAGGAGGCCCCCGTGTCCTCTCTCACCTCTGGTCTGGGTTGGGTTTGCCTTTTTTCCTCATGTTGTTGGCCGTGGTCTCGCTGAAGTGCAGCCGCCCCACAGTGACCTTGGTGACCTGCTCCGGGGGCAGGTTCACCCTGGAAGGAAAGGAAAACAAAGGAATGAGTGAGGATGGTGGTTATCTGGGAATGGTGTCTCTCTTTTCCCACTCCCCTCCTATCTCTTCCTTCCTTAGGGGGGAAGTACACAGTTTTCCTGCACCTGGAGGCCTTGAACCCACCAACACTCCTCCCTCATTCCCAACTGGACAGTGGTCCAATCGTGGGACCTGCAACACATTCTTCAAGCCCTGAGGAAGCAGGTATGGAGAGGCTAGAGCCACAGCCTGGAGAGGAGGACTTTCTTGGGAATGGCCTTCTCCTGGCCTGCTTCACCATGGCAGGTCTATGAACTGGGCACAGAGCAGGGTTGGGAATACAAAGAGAGGAAAACAGGAGAAAAACTGGAGAGAGTGACACCCACACAGTGAAGTGGGAGACCTCCAACTCCACCATTTCCCCACCTTCTCCTGCTGTTGCTTATTCCCTGGAAACACAGGATGTTCATTCCCACATGGGCATACTCACGTGACGGGGTTGAAGGGCCGTTTGCTGCGGTCCGACTGCGACTGCTCGATGTTGATGGACTGGTTCAAGGCCTCGAGCTGGAGAGAAGGATTTGGGAATGTGGCAGAGAGCACAGAGACCTTCCCCTTCCCACCTCCTCCTTCCCAGCTCTCTACCCACCCTTCCATGACTGGGTACATCGGACTTGGGACACCCAGCCTGAGGGCGGGCATTGTCCAAATGTCAAAGAAGTTGAGGGTGGAAGGATCTTCCCGAAGTCCCTTTATCCCTCTGGAGTCAAAGGTGAGTGGGAAGCAATCCTGAAGATAGCCAGACTGAGCCCATCTCAGGGCTTGTATTTCAATGGCCTCGGGGGATGTTTAGACTGCACATTAGGGAAAATTCCTTCATGGAAAGGTGGTCAGACATTGAAACCAGGGCAGTCACCATTCCTAGAGGGATTTAAAAGCTATGTGGATGTGGCACTTGGGGACATGGATTAATGTCGGCCTTGGCAGTGCTGAGGGAAGGGCTGGACTCCATGATCCTAGAGGGCTTTTCCAACCTAACCAGTTTCATGATTGTGTGATTCCACACATTCCCCTACTACATGAAGAGGTTACCTGTTCCCAGCCACCTCCCAAGCCCTCTTTTCCCAGCTGGCTTCACCATGGTCCCTCAGCTCCTGCTTACCTTCACTCCGTGCAGCTTCAGGTAGAAGCATTCCAAGGGTTTCAGGCCCTCGGGGGTCTTCACGTACTTGGGATCGCCGAGCATTCCGATGTACACGGTGACCTGGAAGTGGTTCTTCTTCTGGCACACGAAGGCGTCATCTCCCACGGAGAAGTTGAAGCCCTTGTCGGCATCCACGCGGTACGTGAGCATCGGGCTGGGAAGAGGGAGCAGGTGAGACCAGGAATTTCCCACAGAAACTCTGGATATCCCATCCCTCAAAGTGTTCCATGCCAGGCTGGACAAGGCTTGGAGCAATGTGGGCTAGCAGAAGGTGTCCCTGACCATGGATCATCACTGGATGATCCATAAGGTACCTTCCAACCCAAACCATTCTACATCTCATCCCATTCAACTGGGAATGAATATGGAGATCCCAGTTCCAAAGTCTGTCCAAAGCCTGGAGCATCCTTTTAATGTGGCTCACTGGGAGAAGCAGCTCAGTGACCCACACCTTGTGCATTCCCAGTGTCACCTTCTACCAGGCTGTACACCCCTGTATCCCAAATTCCTGCTGAAATCACAACCACCTGCTCTGGCTGCTGCGGAAAAGCTTCCAGCTCCCAGCAGACAGGTCTGGAGGAGGAGGAGAGGGAGGAGGAGGGGTCCTGGCTGCTCCATGAACACACACCAGCTGGAAAGGTTTAATCTACATCTCCTTAATGGGCTGGTTTCCATGGGAATCAGGAAAATATGTGGCCTTTGCAGTGAGTCCATTTTCCTCACCGTCCATAAAGCCCAGTCCTGTGCCGGTGGGCCCTCGGAAGGGGGGAAGGAGCTGCATCTCATCCCACAGAACACCCAAATCCCATTGTTATTAATTAAGGAACCAGGGATGAGGTAAAGAGGGAGCTCAGCCCAGCCTTGGATCTCAGGCTAAAAACTATGGAGCACTTTTCCCCCAAAACCAAACCTCTTCTGACCTCCAGACAGACACACAGATTCCACCTGGAGCAACAGGAGGGGAGCTGGACAGACTGACAGTAAGGAATATGGCAGAACTCTGGAGACTCTGGGAAGCAGACAATAAGGATTCTGCACTGGTATCTCTCCTTTTTTTCTGGAAAAAAAACATTCTCCCCCTGCAATCACTTGAGGAGTTCATGTGGATGAGAGCCGGGGGTGATTCCAGGTTGCCACGAGTGATTCTGGGATGGTCACGAGGAGCTACTCGCTCCTTACGCCCCAGGGAGTCGGGAATGCTGTGCTGTGCTCCAGACATAAACCAGGCGGTGGGAGCAGAGCACTACCTTAGCCCAGAGGCATGAGAGGAATTCCCCAACCTCCTCCCAGCCTCAGCCCTGGATTCCCCATCTGAATATTCCTGACTGGGACACGCAGCTGAAGCTGACCCAAGCACCCTCATCCCAAGGGAGGTGAAGCCATTCCTGGCTGTTTTTATGGCTCCTGAATGCTCACCAGTCTTCCCACTGTTTTTAACTGGCAGAGCCAAGGAGAGGGAGGGTCTGTCTGAACTTCCAAGCCATGGATGCTTCCCAAACCGGAAAACTGATGGCTGCTAAATGTGTGCTGACAGAGGGGATACAGGCAGGCTCCCCCTCCTCTGCCTTCTGGAGATTCCAGGTCTTCCACAATCCCCTTCCGGAGGCTCCTTTTCACTGATTTTACCATTTTCCCAATGGCTGTGGCTGGTGCATCCCCCAAATCGGGATCACTGCACTGGGATTGACCAGAGGGAAGAAGCTGCTTTCCATGCTGTCTTTTCCAGGAAGAGTGCAGGGGCCAAAGGGCAAAGTGTCAGGAATAAAAGGTCTGGGGTCAAATGGATTATTTGATCCTGAACATCCCCACTGACAGGGGTGGATTAAGGCAGGATAGAAGGGCAGGATCAGACAAGGTTTTTCTTGATCCCAATGAGGGTGAGGGGTTGCAAACTTCCCACAGGGAATTGTATGGGGATTTTGCCAAGAGCAGGACAGCAGAGGGATGCTCATGTTCCCCCATTTCTCCCTCCCTCCCTTCCAGGTTTCCTCTTATCTAAACCATTCCTAAAACAAAAACCTAATCCAAAAATGTTCCCTAATTCCATGCAATCTGTGATTTCTTTTGCTTCCAGGACACAAACTCCAGCTGAGCAGCAGGACACTGTCATCTTTCCCACACAGCCCCACCTGTGTGCCCATACTACGTATTCCCTTCAGCTTCCCGGGATACATCCATGATCCATCACCAGCACCCCGTATCACATATCCCAAAACACATCCAGCAGGTCTGGACCACATCCCACTGGTCTCCATTCCCTTGGTGAGGTCCAGGATGTGCAGCACAGCCAAGTTCGGAGCTGTTTATCCGGACACTTCTACCAGCCAGAGGGTGCAACCCCAAAACCCCAGGATTAGCCCCCAGAAAACACCAGTTTGCAGGATGGGAAAAGAACAGCACCTTCCCAGTTTCCCAGTTCTAAGGCTCTGGCCTCAGCATGGAGACGTTTCCATGAAGGGCTGCACTATTCCCAGCTGCCTTCCCTCAAACTGGGAGAAGGAGGAGGGAGCTGGAATTTATCGGAGCCCGCTGTCAGGGAGATGAATGGCTCCTTCTCCCAGGAGTAAATTAGGGAATTGCCCGGTTCCAGGCCTCTTTGGCTCCGCTGCTGGAAACCAGCTCATCCCTGGAAAAGTTCACTGAGTCTAAAACCACAAAGTCAGAGCAAAAGGCAAAAAAATTCTATGTTATCCATAAAATTAATCCAGGGATTTCTGTCTCCTTCAACAACACAGATTCCTTGGCAAAACCTGAGACATGAGCCTGGAATGGAACCTAATCCCTACCCCATCCCCTTATGGAACCTAATTTTTTGTGTGCAAAGGGAGGCAAACATGGAATAGCATTAATTGTATTTTTTGCCCTGTAATCGTTCCCAAAAATCTGGTAAGAACCTGGACAGCTTCCCATGCTCTCCCTCCTTCACCTCCTTCCTGGACTCTTTTCTTAGGATCAAGAGTAGGAAAAATCAGATAATTCAGATGATTCACATTCCTGAGGCCGTGAAAAGGTTTTGGGCACCTGGATCACAGGGAACTCAAACAGCATATCGAGACTGGGGACAGCTTCCAGCAGAAACCAGACTGGGAATGAAGTTCCAAGGCTGCTCCTTGGAAGCTAAATTGGGAGAATAATTATGGATCTGGATGTGGATGATGCTCGTTTGCTGAGGACACCCAAAAGCAGAAAGGAAGGAGACAATTCCCAACTGCCAAATTTGAATTAACCAACTTAAAAAATGCCATTATAGGAGCAAGGAAAGATGGACTTTTTTGTGTGTTTCTCATCTGTTATCCTGGGAAAGTGCTGCACCAGGAGAATAAAGGGGTATTCCATTTAAAAAAAGATGTAGGTCCACCTTGCACAGGAGCAGGAAGAGTCCCCTGAGGTAAAGTGGAGCTAAAAATTAATTAATCAACCTTTAACCCTTAATTCCGCTCAAATCCAGCGCCACAACAAAGCCCACGTGGTTTCCTCAAATCTCCACGGAGTCACCTCAATGGAATTTATTCCTTACACAACGGGATGACGACCTCAATGCCCCAGGAGTGGGTTTGATCTGGCTTTTACTCTAAACCCTGAAAGCAGGAATTAGGGAAGTGATCCCAAGATCCGAAGAGCAAGGCTGGTTTTGTTCTCCAGCAACTCCTCTGGACTTCTTTCTTCCCAGCAGAAAATACCATGGAGTTTGTCTCTGCCAATCCATCTGGGATCTCTGGAACTGGGATAGAAATGCCTGGAAGTGGCCCGGGACAAGCTGTGATGTGTTTGGGATGGAAAATCATTTTCCCAGAGCAGGAAGCAGTGAGAAGGAAGGCTGGAAAACCAAAGGATAAGAGGTGATGTGTCCAGACAGGTCAGAGGAGGTGGCAGTGGAATTCCTGCACATGGAAGAGGGATTTTGGGGGCAGGATCCATGGGAGATGCTCAGCCTTCCCCATCCCACCATCCAGAGAGAGCAAACTGATGGTGGAGAGCAGGGAAAGGTACAGGGTGGCTTTGGGGCTGCTGATACTCCTTTATGGAAATAGCTAGGTAAACCAGAAGGAATTGTCTTCCCAAATTATCCCTCTCCTGCTGTGGAGTGGGAAAACAGCCACAGAGTCCAAAAGAGGTAACCAGCTCCAACAGAGAATTCCTTGCCCTGGCACCACGATGAAAGATGGGATAAACACTGGATGAGCGATTTGTGTGGGAAAGCTGGGACTCTGCCCCCACCCTTGGAGCCCTTGGCTCCCATTCCCAGGTCCTGGGTTATCCACAGGCACCTGAGCATTCCCTGTTCTGTGTCCCCCACAGGACCCCAGCTGGCTGTGTGGAAAGAGGAGGGGGGGAATTGGGAGGGAACAGAGGGTCCCTGAGAGGTTCCTGGAAGCCATCCCACTGCTTGCCAGCTCTTTGTCACCTCCCAGGAATGCAGGGAGGATCCAGAGTGGTTTCCTCCTGAACACTCCTCCTCCCCGGTGTGCTGTCTCCACCCTCCGCTGCCTCAATTCCCAGCCCACCTTCCCACTTCTCCCTTCCCTGTCTTGGTCATCCCAGCCTTCCTCTCTGGCCTGTCTGCCACTTCCTAGATTTCCTAAACCCCTTCCCTCTTTTCCCTTCCTCCTCTGCCCCTCCAACCACTCCCACTCCTCCTCCTCCAGCTCCTTTCCATGCTGCTCAAGCTCTCCTGAAGTGGCTCTGGATGACCTCCTATGGATGCTAAATCTGAACCAGAGTGCCTGTAGTTATTACAGGCCACATAGCTCTCAGTCCTGCCTGAGAGCTAGCCTGAGAAATTCATGGGAGGATTTAAAAACAATCCTCAGAGACAGAAAACAGCCATGCCAGGTGCTGTTTGTCTGTCCCTTGTTTTCTTTGCAAAAGAAAGTCAGAGGGTGGTGTGCACCACTGACCAATGATGGTGATGTAGTGGTTTGCTAACCAATAAGAGTTTCCTTTCTGTACTTTCCACGTATCAGTCTATAAAGAGACCTGAAGCAATAAACTAAAAAAATTCTCCTGTTCTGACTCCATGAGAGTCTGTGTCGTCTCTACCCAGATGGTCCTAATAGAGCGGCAACTTCCAGCCACCCACACTAGGAATTCACAATCCTAAATTTAAAATGCAGGATCCTGGTGAACCTAGGGAGAGGGAAAAGGTGCTGCTCATCCCAACATTCCTCAGGACAAGGACGGATTTGCCAGTAAAGCCCTCCATGGTGAGCGAGGTCTGAGTGGCTGCAGAATTGTCACCAAAGCTGGTGAAATTCCTTCTGCTATTCCTTAATTATCCATAAAAAGCGTAGAGGAGTAACATTCCCAGTAGGAAAGAGGCAGTGGGGAACATTACCCTCACCACAAAGCCCAGCCAAGGGAGATCCGTATCCCACGTTTTGAGTGGGATGCTCCCAACCCCGGAGGCTTGCCACTTGCACGAGGAATATGAATTCCACTTTTTCCAGAGGCGAAGGAATTACTCACAGCTCCTTGTAGTTGGCATCGTATAGAGTTGCCCACTTGTTCTGCTGATGTGGCTGCCACTTGATGGACTGGAAGTTGGGATCCAGGTAGGAGCCGTTCAGGCTGTCGTTATCCTGAATCAGGCCTGTGGAGAACGTTAAAACAGATTAAATCCCGATTTTACTCCCTGGGCCGAGTATCCAGAGGGGTGGGAGCCCAAGGAAGAGACTGGCACTGCCGAAAGCTTCCCCTCCTGACTGCCAGAGCAGCACCAGATGCAGGCCAGGGGTGAATCCCACAGGTTGGCAACAGTCTCCCCTCCTCCCAGGCCCCTGGCCCGGCGGGAGCGGGGTTGGAATTCAGGGGATAATGGGGATACCTGGCGAGAGCGCACCCGGCTGGTGCCAGGGAGGCGTCTGGACGCGATCGGGATTGAGCGGCACGGATCCCATTCCCGGCTCCTGCTTGATCAGCCCGTTGAGCATCTGGGCATTGAGGGTGTTGGGGGGGGACTCGGAGTGTTTCCGCTTCTTAGCGGGATGCACCGGGAGGCTGCGGATACCGCAGGAAGGCTCAGCAGGGAACGGAGAGTCGGGAGGTGACAATCCCACAACCACGACAAGCGGGATCTCACAAGGAAAACACAACATTCCCACAGCGCTGCCCCACCTTCTCCCACACTGCTGAGTCTGCGTCACTCATGTGCTGAGCCACATCTTTAATTCCACAGAATCCCGGAATGGTTTGGGTTGGAAGAGACCTTAAAGCTCATCCGGTTCCAACCCCCTGCCATGGGCAGGGAACCTTCCACAGATCTCCCCTTGTTTGTTCCTACAACCGAATCCCCCAATCCAGGCAATCCACACAGCTCCAGCTCCCATTCCCTCACCCCCGCCATTCCCAGGCCTTACTCTGCTCCATGCTGCTGGAGGAGCTGGTGCAGCATCTGGGATTGCTGGGCATGGTGGAGCTCAGCGGGCGCCATTCCTGGCCCAACGCCGTACGGAGGCATCAGGGGCTCGGCCTTCAGGAACATATCCCGCTGCAGGCCGGGAAAGTGGGAATTGTGCTGCGGCTGGAGGGGGTGAGGGGGCGGGGGGGGGGGTGGGGGGGGACCTTGGAGGTGAGGGGGTGGAGGAGGAGGCGGCGGAGGAGGAGGGTGCTCCAGGCGGGAAGGGGGAGTCAGGTGACACATATTTTCGGGAGTCATGGTCCGGAGGAGGTGAGGATCTGGAAAGGGAGAAAGAGCTGAAGTTAGGAGTGTCCTGATCCCAGGTCCAACACTGACCTGTTTGTCTTGGATACCCTGGCTGGATGAGGCTTGGAACAACCAGGAAGTGTCCCTGCCCATGGCAAGGGATTGGAATGAGTTGAACCTTCAGGTACTTTTCCACCAAAACCATTCCAGGATTCTAACATTCCATGGGACAATGAGAGAGAAGAGACAATGGAATGACCTGAACAGCCCCAGCACTTCCAGGGAGGATTTCTGAGGGGGCGCTTTAAACATTTTAACTGAAACTAGGAGGAGACTTTGATCCCTGAATTTAAATAAATAAAACAGCAACATTCAAATGCAATCCCACCCTTCTCCTCCTCCATTTGGAATGGGATACTAAAGCCATTCCTTAATTAGAGAGGATTTGACTACACCAGCATCAAAATAAATGTTTGGGGTGTGGAGGAACATGCAAATCCACGTCCCTTCCTGTTCTGCTCCTCATCACCTCAACATTCCAGATCCACTCCCTTCCATGGGCAGGGATATCTTCCACTCTCCCAGGCTGTTCCAAGCCCTGCCCAACTTGGCCCTGAACATTTCCAGGGATGAGGCAGCCATATCTTCTCTTAGAAATCCATTCCAGGGCCTCACTGCCCTCACAGGGAAGAATTCCTTCCCAATGTCCCATCTAACCCTGCCCTCTGGCAGTGGGAAGCCATTCCCCCTGGTCCTGGTATTCCACGCCCTTGTCCAAAGCCCCTCTCCAGCCTCCTTTTTCTTCACCAGGACAAAGCCCATCTGTTTTTCCAGCCTTTCCTTTGCATCAACCTGTGCCTTCAGGTGTCCCCACAGGACACCACAAACCTGGCAGGAATGAGGGACTGACTCCTGGGACATGAGAAAACCACCGAGTAGGAAGGGACAGTGACTTTGTTTTAAATGCAAGGCAAAGCTCCTTCATGCTCCAACGTGGAAAACTGGATGGAAAACGCATCCAGGGACTGGCCAAGCTGGGCACAGCCTCTGGGAAAACGGAGAGGGACGGCAGGGAAGGATCTGTTGGATCCTTCCAGGCTTAGCTGGATGGACTTTGGCCTCAGAACACCCAGGCAAGGGTTGAGTAACAAGGCCAAAGCGCTTGACCAGGAATGGGAAAACTCCTCCCGTCGGAAGGTTTGGAAAACTGGAATGCGTTGGCGCTGGGTCCTCCTGCTGAAGGCTGCCGGGGCAGGGCTGGCTTCCACCCATCCTGCTCCATTCCAAGGTTTTCTGCTTCCTGCTGGACCTCTCAGTGCCTTTTCCACACACATGGAACCAGATTCCTCCTTCCAGGCTCAATCCCAAACCAGCCTTCCTTTGGGAGCTGCCTCAGGGACAGCCCAGCCAAGGATAGGCAAGTGATGTGCTTGCCCAAGGCATTCCCAAATCCAGGGAAAATCATCTCCAGGAATGCAATCCCAGCTTTGTGGGTGCCCTCCAGAGCCTCCTCTCCTTCCCAAATGAGCTCCGAGCACTCCAAAGTCGCTCTCCCCATGGTGAGCAGCCCGGCCTCTTTGTTATATTTAAGGAAGGGCCAGGAGGAATTCCAGGGATTTTTTTTAGCAAGATAAACAGAACTCTTGACCTCTTCCATCACAAAAAAAAAAAAAGGAGCAGGCGCTGTTCCCAGTGGGGACTGGGCTGGAGCCTGGGGAAAAGGGTTCTCCTGCCGAGGGGGAAGGGAGACCAGGACAACCTTCCCACCTTCCTTCCCAAGGAGTTTTTCCATGGCAGAACAGTGAAGGTCATCAGAGGGACCAAACAACCCTCGGTGGCTTTCCTGGGGGAAGCCAGGAGTACCTTGCAGCGACCCTGGAGGGGGTCCCAGCTCCCTGTGCCATTTCAGTGGGAGCTAAGATCCTCAGGATCAGCTGGAGGGGAGGGAAAGGCTGGGAAGGAACTTACTGGAGAATGGCGGGTTCATGGCTGCTTCCCAGAGCCAGGTTCCATGTCAGGGACGTGCTCCCGCTCCGTGTTCCGGAGGTAGAGGGCAGGACGAGCGGGATGGTGAGCTCCACATCCCACCCCGCCACGATCTCCCTGCACCCACAGACTCCCACCACGGATTCAGTGTCTGTGGAGTCTCAGCTCGCCTTCTGTGCCGGTCCCTCTCCCCTTTTCCAAAGCCGGGAGCGGAACAATGGGTGAAAGCCGAGGGATATTTACTAACTGATAATCTCCCCACGTAGTGCAGCCGCCTGTTTTCTCCCGGCTGATAAAGATTGCAGAGCCAACCACTTTCACGGAATAAAGAGGGGGTGGATGCTGGGATTTGGGGTTTGGATTAGGATTTTTTTTCCCCCTTCTCCCTTTCTGAAGCACTTACCATTCACCTGCTGAGGGGAGTAGGCTTCTGATCCGGAATCCGGGGGAGAGTCTGGCAAAGTGCTGTGGAGCAATGGGAAAAGAAAAGGGAAAGTAATTTTAATCCAGTTTCTAGCACAACCAAGAGGTCCAGGTGGATCCAAGCACCTTCCAGGATGTGGCAGGGAATCCCAGGTGCACCTGCAGCAGATCCTGGACACCCTGAGTGTCTCCAGCTGGGATTGCCATCACTGCCAGTGTTTTCACAGGAGCTTGGGAACAGGGACGTTCTGTTGAGCTGACAGTGAAAATTCCAGGGAATAGAAGCCAAACAGAAATTTATCTGCTTCCCAGGGAAAGGTGTGCTTCCCATGGAAATGTCAGTGATCAAGTGGAATGCACAGAGCTCTCTCCCCATTCCGGGAAGCTGTTCCAGGCCAGGTTGGAAAAGGAGCAGCCTGGGATGATGGAAGGTGTCCCTGCCCATGGCAGGTGCTGGGCTACACAGTCCCTTTCCATCCAAATAATTCCATGACTCTATAAAATGGGAGGCTTTGGGGGACCTGGGGAGTCCCTGGGATGGATTTTGCCTGTACAAACCTGAGCACCACCACAGCTCCTTCTGTATCCCCCTAGATATATTCCAGCATCACCAGGAGCAGGATTTGGCTCTGACTGTGAAACATAACCCAAAAAATAGTGGGAGCTCCCAGCTGCCTTTTCCAGCACATCCATGGCTAAGGATGGCAGGACCAGGTCCTGTATGGTGGCACAGCAGGGACAGGCAGGGAAACCACGCCACATTCCCATTTTCCACAGGAATTATTTTCCATTCACCCATCCTATACCATCAGCTTTATGGATGTGAAATAATCCCAGACAAATCCCAGTGCTTGTTGGATGAAAGCCAGCCAAAAAGCAAATGAATAGGGGAGGAAAAGCACAGGACACATTGCTCCACCTCTGCTCCAGACAGCACCCACAATTCCAGCTGGGAACCAGGATATGGAATCCTCCTGGACCAGAGAAACCCAAGGCCCATTAATTGGATTCTGCATCGGAAGTTGCACACAGCAGGGGCTGGAGGGATGAGCTAGGGCGATCCCAAAAAAACCCCTGCCATACCTCTCTCATCCTCCACCTTCCCTTGGAGCACCTTTCCATCCTTCCCTTCCTATGCCTGGCTGGAGCATCTATTCCCAGCCTTATTTCCAGGCTCCTTGCCATGTGGGATCTGAGTTCATACTGTATTTCCTATGGATTTATCAGGATTTATGCACCAGCAAGCCAAGTCTTGGCCAGTAACGAAAGGGAACAGCACAATTTAAGGAATCCAGAAGGCTGGAAAAGGTGGACACTGCAGGATTCCCACAGGGAGTGTAGCGTGGAAGTGCCCAGTCCAAGGGAAGGGTTTGTTGGTATCCACCACATTGTCCCTGAGCACATCATGGGGTGCTTTGGCCAGGAAGTGGACTCCATTATCCTTGTGTGTCCCTTCTAGGATATTCCATGACTGTCCACTGGAAAAAGCCAGGCACAAGGGGGAAGAGTCATTCTGGGATGCTGAAGGCATGCTGCCATCAAAGCTGATCCAGTTCAGCTACATGCAAATGAGGTCTCCACCTCGGACAGCAAGATGTGATCCTTGCTCATGACATCCTGCAGAATTCCCGATGCATCCAGAAGAAAAGGACATAACAAGGCATCACTTCATTCTTTTGATTCCCCCTAAGCTCCAGGTATCCTCCTGGGATCACTGCAAGGGAAAACCCCCCGGTCTGGAAATAAAAGAAAGGCAGATTTTTTTCTTTTAGCTTTCTGAGATGTCTTTCCAAGTTCATCCAAAGGGTGAAAGTCATTGGCTGAGTGTTCCCAAATTTGGGAATCCCCACGTTGTGCTTGGTGGCAACACTAGAGGGCACAAGGCAGAGGGAGAAGAGCCAGTCCTGGAGCCATCCTAGCATCACTGTCCTTGCATCCATAATCCCATGGGAGAAGGCTGTCCAGGGCCACCACCACCTAAAGATCCAGGCTGGAGCACAGCACAGCACCTTGGGATGTTACTATTCCCCTCCTTTCATCCCAGAGAGCAGGAACCACATCCTTTCTGCTCTCAGGAATAACTCCAGTTGGGTCCATCAGCAATTCTAAAACCTGCCTTTCCTCTCCCTCAGAGCTTGTTGAAAAGGACACATCCAGCTCAGATCCATGTTTTCCTTCTCTGGAGCAGAGCATCTGCAACATCAGCCCATAAGAAGATGATCTCCCTGCCCAGGGTAGCAAACTATCCTCTGGGATAGTCATGGCAACATCCCGCAGACTGAATTTCATCCCAGAGACTGAATTTTGTCTTGTTCCAGTTTATTCTGTGTCTCTTCCTCCTTAAAAAATGCTCCAGTGTTCTTCCACCGGCAGATGTCCAGCACAGGTATCCAGAACTGTGTGATGGTGTGGGGGTTTTCCCAAAAAACCTTTTGGGAAGCTTCAGGAGCTCCACTTGTCCAAAACCAAGGACATACACAGAGCAACAGCTGTCACTGCTCCGTGGGACCCTCCAGGTGCCACCAGCCCGGAGGAGCCTCCATCCCACCCTCATCCCACCATCCCATTCCCTCTTACCCAGGTGCGTAGGAGGCCTTGGGCTCGGATTTGATTGGAGGGACCACGTTGTTCAGGCAGTGGCCACCCAGGAAGCCCTTGGGCACCACCATCCCATTGTTGTTGTTGCAGTTGAGGTGAGCTCCGTAGGCGGCTCCGCAGGGATTGGCCAGGAGAGGACCATGCCGGATGGGGAGCTGGCTGCCGGCGGGAGGGAGGTGGAGGGGAGCGCTGGGAGAGGGATTGCTCACGCTGCTGATGGAGCTGGCAGGAGGCGCGGGGATGCTGGCGGAGCTGGAGGGCTGGGGGTGCGGGTAGCTGGCGGGAGCAGGGATCTCAGGGAAGCAGCTGAGGGAGAAAATGGGACAATGTCAGGAGAACAGGTCAGTGGGAGTGATGGAAGAGTCCAAAACACACCCAGGAAGTTCTGAAGTGCCCAGTACAGCAACCTCCAGGAATGTGTAGCCAGTGGGATCTGCTCACTGTACTCCAGCTTCACAGAGCTGCTATGACAAAGATCCCACTCCCACCCTGCTCCCAGATTCCCTTGGTGCTCTCCAGGTCTACTCCGTCCTCCTTCCCAAAGTTGGGGTACACAGGGAGATCCTTCCCTTCCCCACACTCATGTAGTCCTGGGGATTTAATCCGAGCTCCCAGCGCTCAGATTAAGGGAAAGCGTTTATGGTGCCCTTGGGGAAATAAAGAGAGGGAACAAAAAAGACTGGGAAAACTTGGAGGTAAGAAGCCAGAAAGAGTCAGGAGGGATGGGAATGATAAAGGAGCAAAGAGCAGTCCAGGAAGACTCTGGAGGGGCAGAGGTGATTCCTAAATGATTCCTCAAATTTCAGGGCTGGAAACTGCTCAACAGGTTCCCAGAGAAGCTGTGGCTGCCCCATCCCTGGAACACTTCCAGGACAAGCTGGGCAGGGCTTGGAGCAACCTGGGATAGTGGAAGGCGACCCTGCCCATGGCAGGGGTGGAAATGGATGAGCTTTAAGGTTCCTTCCCACTCAAACCATTCCAGGATTCTGTGATCTCTCCACGGAAAATCACAAGGAACACCGTTCCTGCTGTGGAGCAAGGGAAGCACTTACATCTCCGGAGAGTCTTCCTTGCTGATGTACTCTTCCAGGATGCTGGTGTCGATGTTGGATGGTTCCAGAGCTCCATTAATGTCGTGGCCTGGAGGGGAGAGGAGGAGGAAGCATGAGCTGGGAGAAGGACAGGAAAGGGCCTTTGGAAACACCACCAGACCCTTGTGCAGTCAAGGAGCTGATCTGAGAATCATGGAATCACGGAATGGGTTGGAAGGGACCTTAAAGATCATCTCATTCCAACCCCCTGCCATGGGCAGGGATGACTCACTAGATCAGCAGATCCCTGGGGATTGCCAGCTGTCCATACCCACTCATCCCAGTGCGCACACTCATCCTGGGAGATGGGGCACATGGGACAAGCCAGGGCGGGGACTCAGACACATGGTGGGGACCAGATCCTTTGGGATTCCTTCCAACTCAGGACATTCCATGATTCCCTTTGGACCCTTTGCAGAACACACTGGAATTTCTCCACCACAGCTCTGGATCAGCTCCTGACCTTCCTCCCTCTCCTCTGCTCCACGGGCAGGCAGTAGATTTCTCTGTCCTTTCTCCGGAGGGCTCCTCCTCCCCTCCCTGCCCTGTTCCAGGGAAGCTGGGCAGGGTTTTGTTGACAGAAAATCCTTCCTTTATCTGTCTCTCCCAAGTGGGAGTCCGGAGCCAGCCCGCGGTGCCAAAGGCATTGCCAAGAAAGTGGAAGGGAAGATCCAACTCCCCCTGCCCCGATAAGGAAGTCAGTGAAAGACCATCCTGAAAGACCCCACGTGAAAGCCCAGGAGAAGCCCCTGACCCCCTGGATCCCCCAGGTTCCCAGGAAAGGTCACCCGCTGATCCGCAAAGGCCGGCCCGGGGGGCTCCAGCCCACCCCGGCCAATTGCAGCTCTCCCTCTGCAAATCCCTTTCATACCAAGACAGGCAAATCGGCAGGAATAAATCCAGCTAGGAATTCTGCCAAGCGGACAGGGTGTGTGTGGACACAGGGATCTCTGCCTTAGAAACCTTGGCTGGAGAGGGGGGAAATGCTGGGTAACTGTTCATTTTTGGGACATCTCCGTGGCAGAGCCTGGGGACCTGGGGGACAGGGTGAGGAAGTTCTTCCATGTGAACACAGGATCCATCTGGAGCAGGGACACACAGTCCTGCTTCCAGGTGAGCACTGAGGTGAGGAGAAGATGGAGCAGGCAGAGCCTCTGGGATCTCCAGGTGTGCCAGCACCTCCAGTATGGAGTTACAGATCCCAGGCAAGCAGAGAGGTGGCTCCTGTCCCTCCACTGTGACAGCCGCATCCTGTCCTGAAGTTCCTGTGATGCAGCTCCACCCTCTTTTCCTTGGAGTTATGGGACCTCATTGATGACCATCTGTATATCCCTCACTCATCCCTAAGGATCTCTGCCATAGCCTGCTCCCAGCACTTCACAATGACCACATCTCCCAAGGCACCTCTTCAAGCCTTTACTGTGATCCCATAACATCCCCGAAACCTCCTGCCAAGAATGAGCACTCCAGGAGGGTGGGAATCCTCCCCGTGCTCCATTGCCTCCCTCCTAGCAAAAAAAAAACCCTGGGCTATAAATCACAGCATGCCTTTGGCAAACAGCCACAGAGATGTCCCAAAAGTCATCAGGAAACTTGTCTTCATCCCAAGTTTTGGCACTGGGATCCACGATCAAAGCAGTGAAAAGGACACCTGGCCAATTTTTGTGACTCAGCCTGTCCAAGAAAAGTCCAGCTCCAGCAGGTTTCCCTCATACCTCCAAACTCCAGGAGCTCCTCTGTGGTGGAAGAGGAGCCCAAGAACCCTCCAGGAAGGAAGAGATGTCTCTATAGGCAGTAGGATGCTGCGCTTCCAAATTTTCTGAGGGTGCTGAGGCCCTGGCACAGGTTGCCCAGAGAAGCTGTGGCTGCCCCATCCCTGGAAGCATTCCAGGCCAGGTTGGATGAGGCTTGGAGCAACCTGGGATAGTGGAAGGTGTCCCTGCCTATGGCAGGGAGTGGGACTGGATGAGCTTTACAGTCCTTCCAACTCAAACCATTCCAGGCTTCCTCTGCTTCCCTGGAGTCACCTTGAGGAGGGCGAGATAAGCCCGGTGACGCGAGAGGTGCGTCAGGGCTGGAGGGGAGACGTGGCTGCCCACCAGAAATCAAGGACCTTCCTCTGCTCCAGGGCAGTGGGATTTGCACAGATCCAGGGATATCGGGGCAGGGACAAGGAATGTCCCACCGCCCAGAGCTTCCATGTAGCTCTTACCAAAGCCAGCTTAGGTGATTAATTAAAAGCTAATACTGCTCCATAGTCACGAGATCCCAACGGCACCAGCATTCCCTCCCCCTCCCAAGTGGGGATTAGTGGGAAGCCACCAAGGAGGGAAGCTCAACACCCACATGGCTCCTCATGGGACAGGCTCCTACATCTCATCCCAGCAAAGATGGAGGGGCCCAGGGAAACACTGAGCTCATCCATCCCAAACCTGCCAGGTCCCTACATCCCTCCTCCTCCTGTCCCTGGCATTGCCACCCTGCTCTCCCACCATGTCACCGCTCCAGTTTCCAACTCTTCTTTGGGAAGAGAGCTGTGGCAATCCCAAAAACCCCCAGCCTCTGCCTGAAGAACAAGAAGTTAAAACTCTCAGCACCCTCCTCGTGAGCTGAGCCGGGCGGGCTGAGGCCCCCGGACGTGTGAGAATGTCAGGAATCCCAATGTTTGGACTGGTTTTCTCTGCCTTCCCCAAACCTCCAAACACGCTCCATATCCCAACGGAGGTGCTTCCCACCCCGCCACCTCCTCCCTGCCCCTGCTCTGACTGGCTCGTCCCTCCTGGTGGCACCTTCCCAGCTCAATGTCCCAGTTTTGGGTGCTCACAGAGGTGGGCATGGAGCCATAGGGCTTGGAAAGAGTTAAGGGAGCCTGGCCTCCGTGAACTGTCATATTTACAGGTCCAAGGGATTTAACCCGGAATTTTCCTGGAGTGATAGGCTGAGAAGTTTATGGAATTTCTATTTATAACAGTCCCCCCCTCCCTCTTCAATTCCTACTCTGTTGCCTGTCTTCAAATCACCCCTAATCCTGCCTGGGTCACCTGGGGGTGGGAGGAAGGGAGAGAGCTGGAGAACTTCATCCCAGGATGCGCTAACACGAACCAGATGTGGGAAGCTGGAGATGATGACGAGGTCAGCACTCTGCAGGGGCTGGGGAACATCAGCCAGGGGTGGGGGGACACCGTGGAGGAGGAGGAGAAGGAGGAGGAGGAGGAGGAGAAGAGGCTGTGCCAAGCCCAGAGCTTTCCTGTGCCATTGGAGCCACGTACCAGAGAATTTTCAGGGAAAACTGAGGCATGGAACAGCCTGGGAGGTGATACAAGCTGGTATTTGCACCAAACTGGTGCAGAGTGAAATAGGATCAGGAGACGCCAGGAGCTTCTGGTTCTATGTGGTCCCTCTCCTAATGGTCCTCCAGAACCTGCTGGAGCAGCAGTGGGATACATGGATGAGCAGGACAGACGGAATGAAGCTCCACCAGGAGTCACCTGGGATGCCACAGCAGTGCCAGTGCTTGGCGAGGCGGCGAGCCCCGGCGCATCCCTGGGCTCATCCCTGTGTCCGTGCACCGGGGCTTGGTTGTGCAATCCTCAAGCCAGGCTGCAGCATCGGCACATTCCCGGGGCCCCGCACCGCTCCTCACCCCCTTCTCCCTCCTGCCGTGTTTATCCTTCGGCCCGGGGGGATTGGCTGCCGGCCTGGCCGCGAGCACCAGGAATCCGGGCCATGGCAAACAAACCAAACACCGCCTAAGCCCAGGGAGCCGCAGGGCCAGTGCTCGGCTTCGGAGCTTCTTCCCATCCTGGACGGCTCTGCCCTTCAGGGAGAAGCTGCTCCAGCTGGGAACAGCATCCCTCCCGTGCCTGCCACCTCAGCAAACCCAGAGACCTGGCCTGCACACCTGGACACAGCTGCTTCCATAAGGAACTGCGGGATGACCACCCTACTGCCCACATACCCAGCCCTGGGCTGCTTCTATCCCCTCCGGTGACCCTGGAGGAGCCCCTGGCTGCCCCTGCATCCCGGCCCAGCATTCCTTCTTAATTAATGCTCTTTATTACCTGACTAGGATGATAACCAGCCCCCAAACGGGGCTCCTGTAACCAAAGCAGGACAAGGAGCCAGCGCTCCCACAGCTCCCCAAAGACCACCCCAGAGCAAAGTCCCGACTGTCCAAGGCATTTCCAGGGGATCCCAGGCCTTTCCTCTGAACCACAGCCCCTCCCCATCCCATTCCCCCCAGGAATATCATCCTTGGGCAGTTGCCCCTTGGATTAGGACACCTTTTGTCCCTACGCATCCCAACCCAGCCCATGTCCCTTCTCATCACAAAAGGTGGGACTGTCCCAGGCCATGCTGAGGTTCATCCACCCCGTGAACCATCCTGGGGACATTCCCTAGCCAGCCCATCCCCAAGGACAGCCCTGTCCTTCCAAAGCAAACGGGCAGCTCCTGCATGCCCTGCTCATACCGGAGCAGAAAACACAAGGTCCAAATTCCAACTAATTCCACACCAAAAACACAGCCAAGGATGAGCTCTGGGATCTGTGGGATAAGATCCCAAGGAAAACACCAAACTGAGAATTTGGGGGTTGGGCTAAGAATTTGGGGGTTTGTGAAAATTTGGTTGTCATGGAATTAAAATGAACTAATCCACAGTGCAATGGATATGGGCTTGGAAAAGACACATCCTGCCAAACCTTCTCCATGGAGGGGCCAGGATTGTTCCCAACCCACCCATACCTGACCCTCTCCTTCCTGGTGAGCTCCCAGCCAACATCCCTGCTCCCAAATCCAACCCTCTGCATTCCTAGAGAAACTAGGCAATGCCAAGCAGGGCTGGATGCAGGGAAAGCAGTGATCAGGGATAAGGATACAGGACAGTGGGATTTAGCCAAACCCCCAGACTTAGGGAGAAAAAAGAATTTACAGGGTGTTCAGGAAAGACTCAGGAGAAACAACCTGTGAGCCAGCTCCAGAGGCAAAACACTTGGAATAATGAACTGGCCTGGTAGGAAGTACAACCAAACCCATGGCAGGGGGTTGGAA